CGAACTTGACTTCCCAACTTTGGCTTAATCCATCAAGCCTTCTTGTATAATTTCCTATTTTAAATAGGTGGAGATTGTCAATCATATCTTTCTCCACTGCCGAATGGCTAACCTAAACCATTATGGGTTGACAATGAGTATGGCCCAATTGAATCCATAGAAATGAGGACACTAAAGATGAGTATGGCCGAATGGCTATATGTAGTTAGCAAATCAATACGTATACGCACCATAAAGCTTGGGCAGCTTTATTGGTTGAAGTAATCGCCGAAAGGTTGATCCATTTACAATCCTATAATTGGGGATTGTGGTTTTAATTTAATTTTTCTTTYGGCATTTGGTGGGGTCTGAGGTACTACTAATAACCCCTTTTTTTCAAATCGATAGTTGTAGTTAGGAAACAATTCTAAGGAACGAACCAACGAGCCACTCCTCGATTGGTTAATTTGTTGCTGGATCACGAGTTTGAGCCGATTAATTCTTGCCCAAATGCTGACTAACCAATATTTTTTGACAATATGTACTAGTTAATGTGAAAAACCAAATATTAAAACTTTATTTATTACAACTGAAGAAAAATAGAAAATACAAATTCAGTTATTACGGCAATATGTTAAGATCTGCACCCCACTRAGCGCGCCCCACATGAAAACTACACGGTTGGAATGTGCTGTGAGGCGCAGATGTGAATTGGTTACATGGTTGTGTATTTTGAGAGAAGCACTTCGTTGATCATTTTGTCTAAATTGGTATGAGATGGAYCACCACCCTGATACGCGGCTTCTTCTGCTCTCCTCTTCCATTCCATGGCTTTGTACTTCATCTCCTTGCCCTTTTCCCCCTCCATCAACTCYCTAATCAGACTTTCCACTTCATCCCTCTTGACATTGCTATCAATCTCCATGCCCACGCCCCATTCGGTACAAGCGTAACGACAGATCGTTTGTTGGTCTGCGAAGAATGGCCAACAAATCATAGGCACCCCAGAACAAATGCTTTCGACAGTCGAATTCCACCCATTATGCGTTAAAAAGCCCCCAACAGATGGGTGATTGAGGACTTGTTTTTGTGGGCACCAGCTCGCTAGTAGACTTCTTTCTTTGGTATCTCTTATGAACTCAGGAGGTAGAAGCGCAGAGTCGCCCACCACGAGATCTGGTCGAATAACCCACAAGAAGGTTTGATTGCTATTAGCGAGTCCCCAGGCAAATTCCACAAGCTGTTCACGCGTCATCACAGTGATGCTGCCAAAATTCACATACACAACTGAGTTGGGTTTCTGGGAATCGAGCCACTCCAGACATCCCAATTCTTCTTGCCATAGATTGGACCCTATAGACTCCAAACCATTATCGGAGATCTGATCGTGGAGCAACGGAAGTGGACCTATGGAATAAACACGAGGAAACATAGACGAAAGTGCATCCAAGACATCCTGCTCAAGGGCATCAAAGGTGTTAAGAATGATGGCCTGAGCTCTTTTAGATCTCYCAGCTTCTCCCTTTAAAAAGTTGAGCATTATRTCATGGGGATCAGTAGTKCGAATGAAGCTCGGAAGATCCCTTAAACGAATATCTTTGATCAATCCCGGAATCCAGTCGATGGTGGTGTCCAAATACCCATTTGTTAAGTAGCTTTCATCTGCAAATTATCATACTGTTAGTTTGGTCATCAAGGTTATCAAAATAAAAGAAGGGAGATGGCTTTGTATAAGTTTATACGTACCTCTAAGTGGCGTAAGACCTCGCTCAATGAGATGGGAATAGTGCAGAAAACTCATGAAGCTACAAGCGCTGGTCGGCCATAGCAGAACTTCAGGGATACCGAGTTCTTGAGCAGCATCAAGAGTGAAGCTCATGACCCCATCGGAGACGATGCAAGTAACCAAAGGAATATTGTCGGAGTTGGAAGAATCATTGAGTCTAGAAAGCAGACTRMGAAAGGGGACTAGGCAGGTGTTCCTAGTTGAGTCACAGAGGGATGGAATGTCTTGTGTGGCATCGACATCAGAGGGTGGAAGACCATCAGGGATGGTTTCAAACCTGAAACCAGGTAATCCCTTTATAGAATCAGGGCCCCTGGACTTGACCATGCGACGGAGATTGTATTCAGTGTGAACAAAGGTTACATGGAAACCTTTGTAATGGAGGAGCTTTGCTAGCTTCAACATAGGGTTGATATGGCCYTGTGCTGGGTAAGGGATACAAACGGCGTGAGGCTTTTCAACAACCTTGATAGAACCCATTACTCTCTATCTGTGTGTGTCCAAGCACAATCTTCTTGGAGTGCACTGATTTATAAAGAAAAGCTGAGAATTGATTGCCGAGCAAATAAAATATCTGATCGATTGGGTTGCTTGTAGATGTGGTTTACGAGTAGAAGATATGGTCAACCACGCACTGAAATAATAGACAAATTATTTCAACAAWAGGAAGAGAATTGAAGTTGTCTTTCACATAGGTTAATTGGGCATTCTGTTAATTTAATGGAATCCGCAAATGTTGGTTGCTGATGACTTGATTCTATTTTCTTACTGCATTCTTCATTCTACATTGAGATYGGTAGTCGAGGACGGGGATTTGCTAAAAAACAAACACAAGGTCATAACGGTTATCACMTAACCAAATCAACAAGTAAAAATGTTATTTGTTATTTTATAATGGGTAAATTTCTTTAAGGCTCAGTTTGGAAGGAGTACAAATACAAATTTTTAGAGTACYAAACCTTGTATTTTGTATTATTTTAAATGAATTTGCGAAGTACATATTTGTATTTGTACTTTTTTCAAACTGAACCTAAAGTACCCTTATGGTTTAGCTAATTGATTAAGTGTATATTTATTATTGTGAGAAGATATTCTTGTAGTTCTGACAGTATTGAGCTTTTGACATAAGATCTGGGCAGTGAGAAGACCATTTGCCAGATGCATATCTTTTCGTGCATCATTTCGGGTCTTTCTACGCGAGATTAAAACGCGAAAGACGCGAGAAGCTTCATTTAGAGCTTCCCGAAATCAGCCCAAAATGGGCTTCTCGTGTCTTTTCGGTGCCCTGTCTTTTGGCGACTAGATCTTTCGCATGCCAAACAGGAATAGACAAATTTTCGGTCCCCGACTTGTAAACAGCCAAAAGACCGTGCAGAAAGACACGCCAAATGGGCCCTAATACTTCTCTTGCCATTAATGTTTCATCATAAACCATTTAAATGTGTATCACGTTACTGTTATAACTTCTAAAAATACCCAACGTACCCTTATTATAACTTTCAACACTGGCACTAGCATCGACATCGGCTCCAACAGAATATCTCATTGTCCCCTCTGAAACTGGCTCAAATGCACCGGCACTGGCATCTCCGACACTGGCATCTATTACTCACAGCATGGCTTTTAAAACCGACCCGAAGACCGAACCAGTTAGGGGTCCGGTTACTGGGTCGAATGGGCCGACCGTTCGACAAAAAAAAATAAAAAATAAAAAATGGTCAAAACCGTTCAAACGGTTCGAACAATTAACTGGCCGGGTTAGTGGTTTATTGACCAAAATCAACGGTTTTTGGAGAAAATCCAGTTTTAGGGGAAAACAGAACCGGTCTCCCAATTTTTTTGATCCGATCGTTCAGTCCGGTCCAGTTTTAAAAACCATGACTCACAGTTGGAAATGAACGGCCAATGTCTCCGAAGGTTCGGAACGAGCATCCACATAACGGCTGGTTCGCTGTTTTGGAACAGCGTCTCCGGCACCGGCACCGTCTAGGTACTCATAACTCCCTAACTTTTAATCAACAAATCCACACAAGTTCCACTGCTTTTCATTGAAAAGCAAACCCATCTCGGAGAATAGTACCAATCTCACTCCCCCGCCAAAAAGAACTCGAGATTCAGTTCAGTTATCCACCCGCTAAAAATAGTTTTCTATTTTTATGACAACGAAGGTATGAGATGGATGCACTTTCAAGCAAGCCCAAAACTTAACTGAAATACGATAAAATTCCAAAATTCGTACAAGGTGCTTCCAGCGCGTCTCTGGTGAGTACAAGGTGCTTTCAAAATACGACAATTCTTCTTTTCGATTTACCACAGGGTGGAGCTTTAGGATTCTGATGAATCAATCTCTTTTTCCCCTTTTCTCTATTACATTTTTAAAATTTGAAAAAGAATAAAGGATGGAATAGTCTTTTTCTTACTGTTAATTAATTATGTTATCAAAAATAGTAGGAGTAGCATTAGTTAATTTTCAAACAATAAAAATATATTTAATTAATTAACTAACTATAAGAGTATTTTAAAAAAATTACCCTCTTATATTTATCAAATATGCATGGACTCTTCAATTGAAATAAACAAATATGAATAAGCCAAAAGAAAAAGGTAATGCTAAATGAGGTGTGAATATGCGAAGCACCAATTATTGAATGGCATAAGATGAAAATAAACTATCACCAAAAGGTGAGCCTGACATAAACGATAATTGTTTCAATCACTGAGTGAGAATTAACAGGAAGTAATCCTCTGATTATCATGGAAGAAGCACCCAATGTCCCTATAGAATAATAAATTGACAAATTAGCTAACTCCATGAGAATTATAATTATCCAATTATGCTAAAAGAAATGAAACTACCACATACTTGGGAAATTGGAACAAATATCAGAAAATTAAAAAGGTAAGTTAAAAGAGATTAGCGTTTGCAAATCTACCAAAGCAGGGACGCTGGTGGAGTATTTGATACCTCAATATTGCCTTCAATAACGAGCAGCTTCAAGTAGGTGTTAAACATCGACTTCGTTGAGATTGAACTGGGCATTGGATGTGGGAGAAGAACAGATAGGTGCACGAGATGAATCAATGACCTATTACCGTGGCTGACGGATGGCGCAATACAGGAAGGAAGGAAGCTGGATCGACTGTAATAAGATGGGAACCTCAGACCAGTACAAGCAGAGGTTATATGGAGATGTACCTTCGAATCTCTATTTAGCTGCTGTGCTGAGAGGACTGAGATTGCTGCTACAGAACTGGAAATGGAGTCGAGATGATTATGTTACACCACCGATGCTAGACGGCAAGGATGAGAAGAATCTCAAATCAGTGACTTAAATGGGAGAACAGCTAACCATTGGGTCGGGCAAGCAAGCTGGCATGAACAAGGCGGTGGTAATTTGGGATTTGATCGGAAAATCAGAGATGAAATGAAGCTATAATGTGGGTAGCTGGTCGATGGTTTGAGGCTTGACGGAGAGTTTGGAACAAGGCCGAAGTAGTTTGACGAGATTAGAGAGTGACACGGGTGGTTGCATGGGATTCGGTTGTCTAATGTAAACACAAAACGGTGATGTTGGACAGAAGGGGAGAAGAAGCTGAAGAGAGAGAGAGAGAGAGGAAAGGGATGACGGCGGTTCTGGTTAGGTGGTTGAATAGAGGTTGGGGATGCTGGTGTGGAAGGAGGGAGGAGGAATATAGGAGTACGGAGAGAGAAAGAAGGAAGAGAGGAGGGAAGGAGGTTCATATTTTAAGGGATATTTTGGCAGATTAGGCAGGGTAAATAGGGTTGTCCAGGATAATGTTTGGAGGGTTCATATTTTAAGATGTAGTTTGAGGGGTGAAAATGGTTCATATTGAGGTATCAAAGGATTAGGCCAAATGAAATTGCCCGTATCAAAGGATTGGATAGGATATGATTGGTCCAAATGTGCTCGGATAAAGGGATTGGATAGGATTTGATTGGTCCAAATGTACTCGGATAAAGGGAATTCAAGGGATGAATGACTCTACCAATGAGAAAGGCCATTTTTCCCTCAAATTATGGTGAAAAGGTCATTTTAAGAAAAAAATAGATAGCTTTAATGATGCCGTTGACAATTCAGTTGTATACATAATAAAATAATAACGCCTGTTGATGTGGCACTATTTAACTCAAAAAAAAATTATGAAAAATTACACATGGGTTCCATACAAAATTCTTACCATCCACATATGACCAAGAATAAAAATGAAAATAGTTATTTTTATTAATAATTAAATATTAATAAAATAATGAATTATTAATTAAAAAATAATCTATTTCTTTCAACTTAAGCAATTTCAAGAAAAAAAAAGTGGGTCTTACTTTAAATTCCCACCTATTCATCTAACCAAGAATAAAAACAAAATAATTATTTTCTATATAAAATTAATTAATAAAAAAAGTATTTTATTTAATAATTAATTATTAATAAAATAAAGAATTGTTAATAACACAAAAAGTAATCTAACTCTTTCAACTTAAGTAATTTCAAGGGGAAGAAACAAGTAGGTCCCCCTTAAAATTCCCACCTATTCACATCTGAACAAGAACAAAAACAAAATAATTATTTTGTTTTATAATTTGTTATTAATAGAAAATAATTAATTAGTAATCAAATAACTAATAAATAGTTAATGATGAATTATTATTTCATTAATACTTTTTTAAGTTTTTTGGAAATTATTTATTAATTATTTTATTAATAATTCATTATTTTCTTTTTATTAATAATTAATTATTAAATAAAAATTATTTTGTTTTTATTCTTGGTTAAATGTGAATAGGTGGGACCCACTTGTTTTTTGCCTTGAAACTACTTAAGTTGAGTGATTAATTTTTGTTTTATTAATAAATTTTATTTCATGAATAATTAATTATTAATAAAAATAATTATTTTGTTTTTTACTCTTGGTTAGGTGTCAATAGGTGGGAATTTTAAGTGGAACCCACCTATTTTTAAGTTGAAAGAGGTAGATTATTTTTCTGCTTTATTAATAATTCATTATTTTATTAAGAGTTAATTGTTAAATGAAAAATAATTATTTTTATTTTTATTCTTGGTCACATGTGAATGGTAGGAAATTTGTGTGGGACCCATGTGTAAATTTTCAAATATTTTTTTGACTTAAATAGTGCCACATCAGCAAGATTTATTCTTCTATTACATCGTATTAGATTTGTGTGCGACATCAGCAAGATTTGTGTGGGACCCATGTTAGGTTGATCGTTGATGGATATAAATTTTTGAGAAATCCTTTTATTACATCATACTAGGTTCCACGTCAGCAGGATTTTGTGCCTTATAGATCCTATTGTACATCCCCAATATTTTGTGCCTTAGTATGCAGGGTTCTTTGTAACTGTGTCTTTTGGTTAATACAATTCGATATTTTACACTTACAACAAAAAAAGGTACAAAAGAAGTAATGATCTGCTGATTGGATTTGCTAATTTGGTCATTTAGAAAAGTCTTTAAATGAAAAAGAAATTTGGTTGGGTCTCCATAATGGCCAAATGTTTTTTAACTTACTTCCCCTTGTTCATGTGGTCAATTTTATCAGAAAATCCCTGCGTTCAAAAGAAGCATTGTCAGTGGACTAGGATACAAGACTTGTGTGGACTATGAAAGTGAACGTGTATCCCTTATCTGATGGATGAATTTGTCCATAACCCTTCAATGTAGTAGAGGCAGTAAAGTTGTATAAAAAAGGAATAATTAATCTGCTTAGACTAACTTTCTCCATCTTTATCTAGTTATCATCAAATGGAAGTTATTTCTTTTTTCTCTAAGGGGTAGAAAAATGTTCAAGATTGGATGATATGGTTTTTGGTGTTTTCTAATGAACTACAGTGAAAATAAATGGACTCATTATAATAAGAGTAGATATTATGATTTCCTTCTTATGTAGTTAGTAGTCTGCACTTATACAGTGGGTGTCACATTTCTGAAATATGAGACTTGAAACATTTATTTCACATTTGACTGAGAGACCACCTGAGTTTTATATATGAGAATGAGCATTTCTCACGTCATTAACTCATTATCTTGCAAACAAACAAACAAATCCATTATCTTGCAAACAGTTATTTTACAGTTTGGTATACCATACATAGATTGTGTTAAGCTTAGTAAGTTTAATATTAATTGTTGCTGCCAAAATTTGGAAGATTTCTCGAGAAATTGGCTGATAAGGTGTCACCTCGATCGGCTTTAGTACCTTGATTGTTATGGATCACTTTCAATTAGAAGAGTGTTAGATGCCTGGTGTGATATCTCCAAGGCATGGATTCCGATAACCAAGTCTGTAATGCCAAAAGTAGAGGAGAAAATGAATCGAAGAAATCAGTGAGAATGTGAGATAAAATAGGAGATGAGGGGAGATGTACCTAGGTGTACATTAATTAAAAGAAAATAATTTCTAAAATAGAAATAAATAAGTATTAATTATTATTTGATTAATTAAAAATAATCATAAAAATTAATTTAATTATTTAAGTAAATTAATAATTAATAGAAAATAATAATTTAAATATGAAAACCACTAATAGTAAATTAATTAATTACCTATGAATGAAAATAATATTGACAATTAACTAAATTATTTAAATTCATAAATAAATTATTAATAAAAGTAATAGTTATACAATATAGATAAATAATTATTATTTATTATTTTATTAACTAAATAATAACTAATAATTTATTTAGTAAATTATTTCAACCACTTTACCAATTTTTTTGCCTCAAAGTATAATTTTTAACTTTTCTTTATTTGTGAAAGATACTACATATTTCAAAACAACATTATTTATTCTGAATATAATAAAACATATAACACTAACCAATGTTTAGAAAGTTGGACAAGAGCAACTAGTCAGATTATTGTTAAACCATGACCCAACCCATAACCAATTCGATCATACACCTAAGCCTATTTACTCCAAAAAAACAAGCCAAAACCATCCACCAAATTGGTCTAACCCAAGAACTAATGAATTGGTCTTGGGTAACTTTTTTTTTACCTGTGTTTTAAAGTACTAAAGGCACCATACCCTTCTATTTTTGCCATAAAACAAGGGTGATCATTTTAGCGAGTTGGAAAATTTCGCTCTTGGACCTAGATTTTGTATTTAACCCTGGTCGAGGCTTGGGCCCTCATTAGAGCCCCAAATTTTAGGATTGGGCATAGGCCTAATACTTTAAATCTGCCTTGGTCTTAACTTGACCCACATATATTTAACTATATGTATATTATAGATAATATATATGTTATTTTATATTACATAGAAATAGGGCATTTAATGGGTTAGGTTCGACCCGACGAACCCAATGTTCATGAACTGATTAGGTTGCTTATGGTTCTAGGAATCAGAACCAATGAGTTAACTCTAGTTCCGGATATATTGTCACGATTATTATCGGTTTGGAACCGGTTCCACCTATTCCTGAACCGATTCAAACCCAGCCCAATAGTTAGATTTCTTCTCTTCTCCCCTCTTAGTGAAACCTTTTTGTGTTGCGACATTATCTTATTCAGGTCATACTGTCCAAAATCTAGTATTCAGTCTATAACACTGATGACCAACCATCCCCATTGACCTTTATTCACTAATGACATAGAGACAACAAACACATTACAACCATCCCCATTGTTCTAATTTCTTTTTTGTTTTTCTTTGTAGGTTAAAGATGCAACAAGTGACTCTTAAAGCATAGTTGAAGCAATGGATAATTCTTTTATATTTAAAATTTCTCTATTTTCTTTTGAAAGTCATGTAGACTTTAACGTGTATTGAGGGAAATTTGACGTTTGTAATACATTTTAAACAATGGTGTATTTTTTTTGGTAGAACAATGGATATATTCCAATTATATGTGGCATGTATTGAAGTTATTATATAATTTTTATGTGATGTATGAATAAAATAGGTGTTGCTTTAAGGTGGCAATCCTAATTGTCATTATTTTACTATTTTATTTGGAATATATCCACAGTTTTTCTATAGATTGAAACAATTAGTTATGGTTTTCCAAGAAATTGTGGGCATATATTGCATCTTTTAGCCACGGTTTGTCAAAAAACTGTAGTTATAGGTTAGAGTATTTAACTTCGGTTTTAGTAAAAAAAAAAAAAAAACTGTGGTTATAGGTTAGTACATTTAGCTATGATTTTGTAGCAAACCGTAGCTATAAATAGAAGAATTATAGTTACGGCTTTATAAGAATCCGTGATTATAGATTTGGGTATATAACTACGAATAATTTAAAAGCCGTAGCTATATGCATCTTTTAGCTGCGGTTCAAACCATGGCTAAAGGTTCATATGGTTTGTATTCACCCTTTAGCTATGGACAGATACCATAACTATAGATGAGTTATAGACACGGATTAGTTGAACCGTAGCCATAGGTTATAGCCATGTGAACATAGGCTACGGTTTTCTGTCCATAGCTAAACCGTAGCTATAGGTCTATAGCTACGTTTTTTTTTAACCTTTAACCACGGTTTTAAGTTATTCTATGTTATTAAGTTATAGTTTGTAAGTTGAGCATTAAAGCAATCACCAATGCATGGTCTTGAGAAAAATTGTTATTTGTGATGAGTTTGAAAAAAGTATAAATGCAAATATGTAGAGTATAAAAGCTTATATTTTATTTTATTTTGTATGTATTTACGTTATATATATATTTGTATTTGTACTCTTTCCAAACCGAGCCTTGAATTGTTTGAATTAGCATCAGTTTACCCTTTCCACGAGTTGCATTAATGGTGAACCACG